ACGTACCCTGTGTGTGAGCCATCTACATGGAGCCGTCAGGTGTGATGTACCCTGTGTGTGAGCCAATGTACATGGAGCCGTCAGGTGTGACGTACCCTGTGTGTGAGCCTATGTACATGGAGCCGTCAGGTGTGACGTACCCTGTGTGTGAGCCGATGTACATGGAGCCGTCAGGTGTGATGTACCCTGTGTGTGAGCCTTTGTACATGGAGCCGTCAGGTGTGATGTACCCTGTGTGTGAGCCTATGTACATGGGGACGTCAGGTGTGATGTACCCTGTGTGAGCCATGCACATGGAGCCGTCAGGTGTGACGTACTCTGTGTGAGCCATGTACATGGAGCCGTCAGGTGTGATGTACCCTGTGTGTGAGCCTATGTACATGTGGACGTCAGGTGTGATGTACCCTGTGTGTGAGCCTATGTACATGGAGCCGTCAGGTGTGATGTACCCTGTGTGTGAGCCGATGTACATGGAGCCGTCAGGTGTGATGTACCCTGTGTGTGAGCCTATGTACATGGGGACGTCAGGTGTGATGTACCCTGTGTGTGAGCCGATGTACATGGAGCCGTCAGGTGTGATGTACCCTGTGTGTGAGCCTATGTACATGGAGCCGTCAGGTGTGATGTACCCTGTGTGTGAGCTTATGTACATGGAGCCGTCAGGTGTGATGTACCCTGTGTGTGAGCCTATGTACATGGGGACGTCAGGTGTGATGTACCCTGTGTGTGAGCCGATGTACATGGAGCCGTCAGGTGTGATGTACCCTGTGTGTGAGCCTATGTACATGGAGCCGTCAGGTGTGATGTACCCTGTGTGTGAGCCGATGTACATGGAGCCGTCAGGTGTGATGTACCCTGTGTGTGAGCCTATGTACATGGAGCCGTCAGGTGTGATGTACCCTGTGTGTGAGCCTATGTACATGGAGCCGTCAGGTGTGATGTACCCTGTGTCTGAGCCTATGTACATGGAGCCGTCAGGTGTGATGTACACTGTGTGTGAGCCTATGTACATGGAGCCGTCAGGTGTGACGTACTCTGTGTGTGAGCCTATGTACATGGAGCCGTCAGGTGTGGTGTACCCTGTGTGTGAGCCTTTGTACATCGAGCCGTTAGGTGTGGTGTACCCTGTGTGTGAGCCATGTACATTGAGCCGTCAGGTGTGATGTACCCTATGTGTGAGCCGATGTACATGGAACCGTCAGGTGTGATGTACCCTGTGTGTGAGCCGATGTACATGGAACCGTCAGGTGTGATGTACCCTATGTGTGAGCCGATGTACATGGAACCGTCAGGTGTGATGTACCCTATGTGTGAGCCGATGTACATGGAACCGTCAGGTGTGATGTACCCTGTGTGTGAGCTTATGTACATGGAGCCGTCAGGTGTGACGTACTCTGTGTGAGCCAATGTACATGGAGCCGTCAGGTGTGACGTACACTGTGTGTGAGCCTTTGTACATGGAGCCGTCAGGTGTGATGTGTGCTGTGTCTGAGCCTATGTACATGGAGCCGTCAGGTGTGATGTACCCTGTGTGTGAGCCTATGTACATGGAGCCGTCAGGTGTGATGTACCCTGTGTGTGAGCCTATGTACATGGAGCCGTCAGGTGTGATGTACCCTGTGTGTGACCCTATGTATATGGAGCCGTCAGGTGTGACGTACCCTGTGTGTGAGCCTATGTACATGGAGCCGTCAGGTGTGATGTGCCCTGTGTGTGAGCCGATGTACATGGAGCCGTCAGGTGTGATGTACCCTGTGTGTGAGCCGATGTACATGGAGCCGTCAGGTGTGACGTACCCTGTGTGTGAGCCGATGTACATGGAGCCGTCAGGTGTGATGTACCCTGTGTGTGAGCCTTTGTACATGGAGCCGTCAGGTGTGAAGTACCCTGTGTGTGAGCCTTTGTACATGGAGCCGTCAGGTGTGATGTACCCTGTGTCTGAGCCTATGTACATGGAGCCGTCAGGTGTGATATACCCTGTGTGTGAGCCTATGTACATGGAGCCGTCTTGTGTGACGTACCCTGTGTGTGAGCCGATGTACATGGAGCCGTCAGGTGTGACGTACCCTGTGTGTGAGCCTATGTACATGGAGCCGTCAGGTGTGATATACCCTGTGTGTGACCCTATGTACATGGAGCCGTCAGGTGTGATGTACCCTGTGTCTGAGCCTATGTACATGGAGCCGTCAGGTGTGATATACCCTGTGTGTGACCCTATGTACATGGAGCCGTCAGGTGTGATGTACCCTGTGTGTGAGCCCATGTATATGGAGCCGTCAGGTGTGACGTACCCTGTGTGTGAGCCTATGTACATGGAGCCGTCAGGTGTGATCTACCCTGTGTGTGAGCCGATGTACATGGAGCCGTCAGGTGTGACGTACCCTGTGTGTGAGCCGATGTACATGGAGCCGTCAGGTGTGACGTACCCTGTGTGTGAGCCGATGTACATCGAGCCGTCAGGTGTGATGTACCCTGTTAGTGAGCCGATGTACATGGAGCCGTCAGGTGTGACGTACCCTGTGTGTGAGCCAATGTACATGGAGCCGTCAGATGTGACGTACCCTGTGTGTGAGCCTATGTACATGGAGCCGTCAGGTGTGATGTACCCTGTGTGTGAGCCTATGTACATGGAGCCGTCAGGTGTGATGTACCCTGTGTGTGAGCCGATGTACATGGAGCCGTCAGGTGTGACGTACCCTGTGTGTGAGCCGATGTACATGGAGCCGTCAGGTGTGACGTACTCTGTGTGAGCCATGTACATGGAGCCGTCAGGTGTGATATACCCTGTGTGTGAGCCAATGTATATCGAGCCGTCAGGTGTGACGTACTCTGTGTGTGAGCCTATGTACATGGAGCCGTCAGGTGTGATGTACCCTGTGTGTGAGCCTATGTACATGGAGCCGTCAGGTGTGACGTACCCTGTGTGTGAGCCATCTACATGGAGCCGTCAGGTGTGATATACCCTGTGTGTGAGCCGATGTACTTTAAACCGTCAGGTGTGACGTACCCTGTGTGTGAGCCTATGTACATGGAGACGTCAGGTGTGATGTACCCTGTGTGTGAGCCTATGTACATGGAGCCGTCAGGTGTGATCTACCCTGTGTGTGAGCCTATGTACATGGAGCCGTCAGGTGTGATGTACCCTGTGTGTTAGCCATGGACATCGAGCCGTCAGGTGTGATGTACCCTGTGTGTGAGCCATGGACATCGAGCCGTCAGGTGTGATGTACCCTGTGTGTGAGCCATGGACATCGAGCCGTCAGGTGTGATGTACCCTGTGTGTGAGCCATGGACGTCGAGCCGTCAGGTGTGATGTACCCTGTGTGTGAGCCTATGTACATCGAGCCGTCAGGTATGATCTACCCTGTGTGTGAGCCATGGACATCGAGCCGTCAGGTGTGATGTACCCTGTGTGTGAGCCTATGTACATGGAGCCGTCAGGTGTGATCTACCCTGTGTGTGAGCCTATGTACATCGAGCCGTCAGGTGTGATCTTCCCTGTGTGTGAGCCTATGTACATGGAGCCGTCAGGTGTGATCTACCCTGTGTGTGAGCTTATGCACATGGAGCCGTCAGGTGTGATCTACCCTGTGTGTGAGGCTATGTACATGGAGCCGTCAGGTGTGATCTACCCTGTGTGTGAGCCTATGTACATGGAGCCGTCAGGTGTGATCTACCCTGTGTGTGAGCCTATGTACATCGAGCCGTCAGGTGTGATCTACCCTGTGTGTGAGCTTATGCACATGGAGCCGTCAGGTGTGACGTACTCTGTGTGAGCCATGTACATGGAACCGTCAGGTGTGACGTACTCTGTGTGAGCCTATGTACATGGAGCCGTCAGGTGTGATCTACCCTGTGTGTGAGCCTATGTACATGGAGCCGTCAGGTGTGATCTACCCTGTGTGTGAGCCTATGTACATGGAGCCGTCAGGTGTGATGTACATTGTGTGTGAGCCTATGTACATGGAGCCGTAAGGTGTGACGTACCCTGTGTGTGAGCCTTTGTACATGGAACCGTCAGGTGTGATGTACCCTGTGTGTGAGCCTATGTACATGGAGCCGTCAGGTGTGATGTGTGCTGTGTCTGAGCCTATGTACATCGAGCCGTCAGGTGTGATGTACCCTGTGTGTGAGCCGATGTACATGGAGCCGTCAGGTGTGACGTACCCTGTGTGTGAGCCGATGTACATGGAGCCGTCAGGTGTGACGTACTCTGTGTGAGCCATGTACATGGAGCCGTCAGGTGTGATATACCCTGTGTGTGAGCCAATGTACATGGAGCCGTCAGGTGTGATATACCCTGTGTGTGAGCCAATGTACATGGAGCCGTCAGGTGTGACGTACCCTGTGTGTGACCCTATGTACATGGAGCCGTCAGGTGTGACGTACCCTGTGTGTGAGCCATCTACATGGAGCCGTCAGGTGTGACGTACCCTGTGTGTGAGCCGATGTACTTTAAACCGTCAGGTGTGACGTACCCTGTGTGTGAGCCTATGTACATGGAGACGTCAGGTGTGATGTACCCTGTGTGTGAGCCTATGTACATGGAGACGTCAGGTGTGATCTACCCTGTGTGTGAGCCTATGTACATGGAGCCGTCAGGTGTGATCTACCCTGTGTGTGAGGCTATGTACATCGAGCCGTCAGGTGTGATCTACCCTGTGTGTGAGGCTATGTACATGGAGCCGTCAGGTGTGATCTACCTTGTGTGTGAGCCTATGTACATCGAGCCGTCAGGTGTGATCTACCCTGTGTGTGAGCCTATGTACATCGAGCCATCAGGTGTGATCTACCCTGTGTGTGAGCCTATGTACATGGAGCCGTCAGGTGTGATGTACCCTGTCTGTGGACCTATGTACATGGAGCCCTATGGTGTGATCTACCTTGTGCGTGAGCCTATGTACATTGAGCCGTGAGGCGGTACATAACACCGTTTAGTCGTTTTACTGTTACAAAAATATATGAAAGACAATAAGGCCAACAAACAAGAAAAACACAAATTAGAAATTAAGCAAAATGTATTCACATCACAAACCAATTCCAAGCACAATATTATAACAGTAATGATTAATAATAATCTCTAAGCTCTTGCTTTGCAGAAACAAACCCCAATCTGCTGATAACAATTCATGTTAATTCACGACTATTACACTATAGGCTGACTAGTTAGAATGTCAAATAGTTGATAATCAGCGTGAATTAAGCACTTTAGAGGCTCGATTTCTGATAAAAACATTGCACCTATCACTCCAGAGAAAGACTTTATAACAATTAGAGCCTGGAGATTTTATAAAAAAAATAATTAAATTGTAACAGAAAATGTTGGAAAAATATAAAAGCAATTATCTGCAACAAAAGTTACATTGTTGCCAGGCGCGTTATTATTTTTACTATTTAGGCTCATAGACTTAATTACAATTAAAAAATATCTTGTCTCAATACAAAAATCCATACGCCAACCCCTCAGAATATCAAATAGTCGGTCCTTGTTCGCTGGAATATACAATTCTGAGTTAGAAGCCAATTGTAATGTGGTACATGCCCTTATTTCCGTTTACATTTATATCTAACTACAGCAAAGCGTCGTAATGACTTTGTGAAATGAAAAACAGAGAAGTGGCCTGCCATTACTTTGTTTGGACGCGCATATTGATGACGATGTGACAAACGTAGGGCAGGGACGATAACTTTAGAGGTTGTGTGTGATTTCTATGCAGGAGCCCTACTTGGCAGAGTGAAGATGGTAGTAGTAGGTGTAGTAGTTGTGGTTGTAGTTGTAGTGGACGATGTAGTGGATGTCGTGGCTGTTGTAGTTGAAGCTGTGGTTCGTTTTGTGGTTATCGTTGGTTCAGTCGCGCGTGTGGATGTAGTCCGTGGCGTAGTTGTAGGTGTTGTGGTGACTGTGGTCGTTGGAGCTGCAGTCGCACGTGTAGATGAGGCAGTATGCGTTGCCGAGCATCCTGGTAGTCGTGGACATAAGCGGCAACATATCTGCCGTTGTCTCTTCGTGTATAACCAGTTTGGCGTTGCAACCCGGAAGCCGTAGTGATGTCGTACCGAGGGTATTCCGTGATTCAGGACCAGTCGCCGTGATCCCCGCAGTAGGTTATACACCGCCTGGTATCCCGGCTGGACAAACCCGGAGACGTGATATTGACCTTCACTTGCAGTTCTCCGACTGAACAGTTGATAACATCTTCGAAGTTGTGTTCGTCTCCCTGCAGAGAACCAATAACGACGTGTATATCGTGATAAAAGATCGCAGTTATTTTTTAAGATAATTCGGGGGTTAAAGGAGGATTCTGCAATGTTGCCAAATCGCATGTTTAGGTAAGACATTGTGAGTCGTGATCTTCGTGAACTTGAGATATTATCAGTTTTCTGGAGCTTAAATTGGCACTAGACGGGCAAATTGGCAGTCCTAAGTTAGATTCATGTCTCTCAAACTCCACCTTTCCTGTTAGTTCATATTAATCTATTACACAGAGACATTGTCTCAGTTTGACAGAAGGCACTTAACCGCTAAACGCCTAAACCGAGACAAAATATGCACTGATTGGGCTGACTGATACACATGGTGTCAGTCAAGGTGCTTGCTTACATCAAACTTGCCTAAACTGCCCATTTGCTCTTAAGTTGATGACACTATGGATGTCAGATAGTGTTGTATAGAATAAGGAAGCCATACCATCTTGTCATCAATTATTAAAGCTGTTGACATTCACACAACATATTTGTTTTGCCTCGAAACTAACGATACTTATCTTTGTTTTGAACAAGCACACTAATTGTACGTATCTTGTAAACTGACACCGTTCCGGAAGTCCACAACACAGTTCTAATGCTGTTTTGTGTAAAACCTGTTTCAATTTGATTATTTTATAGCAATATCTGTAACAAATGAACTCTTTTCCAAGTAAATGAAGTACAAATTGATATCTCTCGAATTACAAATATCGGAAAACAAGGACGCTGAGTAATGTCATTTAGTGTTCATGTAAGTGTAACAACTAGCATCAGTCTGTTGAATGTGGTTAGCCGATACACGGGTCCGGCCTTGTGAGGTTTGAATGTTCTGTTAAACTAAACTCGCATAATCTATGTGTATTATAGATATAGAAATATATGGGACTTCTACGTACCTATTTTTCGCCGGCCCCATGTTGCTTGGCTCGGAGTCAGGGTAGCTGTCAATAAAAAAAGAACTGAATCAGCCATACATAACTCACTTTTCTTTATAGTATCCTGGATGCCTAAACATGTTTAGAATTGCTTTGTTTAATACTTTGTTTGAAGTCAATCATTCTTGAAATCTAAACACTTTTAACATGGAAACGTGAATGCGCAAACGTGACTGAAACCAAAACAGGTCCGAATATTATTCTTAATGTATTTTGTGTTTGTCAGACATTTATCGTGTATATGGCTGCTCTGCGATGGCGTAGAAGGCAAAAAGTGTTCATGCAAGTATTAAAACAGGATAGCTTTAACACTGATGGTTTCCAAGGTTTGTTTGTCCACACTCGGCAACACTGCAGCTGACGTCAGTCTGTAAATGATCGAGTCTGGACCAGACTCTGTAGTGATTGACATACGAGCATCGATCTACGCAATTGGGATGATAACCAGGATCTTCACGGGTCGTTTTCCAAGGGAATGATTATAGGATAAATACAAATATAACTTACAACTTGTAGGTTTAGAGGTGACACTGTCATGTACATCTTTCCGTAAACATGCTATAGTTCTTGAAACATTAAGAATATAAATTGGTTTCGATCCTACACGTGTTTACACAAAAAATGGAAAACCTTTCTTTAGCCAAGGATCTAAACAGAACATTAAAGCCCGTGTTTAATACCTAAACACATTGTTATTTTGCCGATGCAATTTCTTTAAGCAAACAATATACACATCTGCTTTCAATGTAGGCAGTACTTATCAGTTCAATTATAGTATTTGTGTATGTCATCTGCGATTTAATAGGGGTTTGCATATATGCATATAATAAGCCATTCGCCATCCACATACACTTACACATTATGCTCATAATAAGTATGTGGTTATTTGGTATATAAATGATGTTCCAAAAGTGTAAGTTGTCTTTTCTAGTGTGCGGTTTGCTCATCAGGGAATACTGCAAGGATACTACAAATGACATGAGGATCAAACTTACCTAGAACCACGAGGATGAGCCCAAATAACACTGCTGTCTTCATGCTGTTGATGTCAGTATTAGGTTGGCGATGGCGGTAATGTATGGTGTGCCTCTTTATACAGCCACACACAACCGGACCTGCACTGTGCATCCTGGGCGGGTCTTGTAATATTGCTGTTAGCGGGAAGTGACCGCAGATGTCACAGGTTCCTCTTTATTTTAGTGTTATGCATAACACATTACAGGTTAGAGATGAGAATCAACACCATTGTTCTGAGAAATATTGTTGTTCAACAGAAGTCACGCCCACCCTGGGAACACCACTTGACCCTTCATCAACTCGGCGATATATCACATGTTTGTTTGTTTGTAATGTAAGTAACCTGCAGCATACATCGCCTGTTGTATGGTATGCATGTAGTAGAAGATACACATGTAGTACATTCCCGGCCGGTCATACCGAAATACGTCAGAAGATGGCACTTGTTGAAGGGCTAAAACAACGACTGGTCGACTCGGGGTCAGTATACTGTGTCTGAGTGGGGCATTCATGTTAAACTGCGGCATGGTATCTCAGTTGGCTAACACTATCAAAATCGGCATCAGTACAAGCAGAGCCCCATTTCACCTCACCAGTATACCTCCATAAGATGTCATCAAGTGACCTGGAATTGTTGGTTTCCATCATCCGATCACAATCGAAATACGTCTGTTTAAATGAGGGTTGGCACAAACAGATATGGCTGATATAGGTGCTGCTTCTGCTTCTGCAGGCCAGTGCTGCTCAATTTATACATCGCAGTCATTATAAAATGCCTATAGGGGCAGAAGACATTTGGTACTGTTACGTTCCTTCGTGTCATATTTGTTTGTTGGTTAACGCCGCACTATTCAAAATATATGATGTAGGCATGTAAATAATCAAATCTGGCCGAGACAATGTAGTGACTGACATAATGAGCAACGCCCGTTGGTCTAGCCAATGAACAGGTGAAGGCCATAATCAATTCCCATTCAAAGACATAATGAGTTGACGTCCCAGGTTCAGTTTTTCAAGGAGAGGCTATCTGAACGACCACTGCACCGAGTTTATGTGCAGTGTGTTGTGAAGGTCAGAAACCCTGCAGAGTCCTTCGCTTGGATTAAATCGGCTGGTCTGAAAGGGGAAACAGAACGCTGTATGTTTGCTGCTCACTACCAGTCACTTCCCACTCGAAACCATCAATGTGTGATTTTGCATCAAAATGTAAAAATTAATATAAAATGTAGAATATGAAATGAATTTAATGAGACTGTCCAACACATTGTCAGTGGATGCCCAGCTTTGGCACAAACACAGTATCTTAAGCGACATGATGGAGTGGCTTGATCCTTTTAGTACCGTCTTCGCCATGCTTGTGGTTTTGACACAGATGTCCCTTCATGGCACGACCCAGAATATGTAGAGGGAGTCATGGATAATGATACATACAAAATTCTTTGGAATAGGCCCGTATAACTTGATCTTGTCATTTTTTGATAAATCCAATGAAATCATTTATATCATTGAATATTCTGTCTCTTTGTCACTACTGTGATTAACAAGATTCAGGAAAAACATGGCAAATATGCAGACCTCGCTTTCGAAATGTCTCGCTTGCATCCCAAGTACCAAGTTGTCCGACTACCCATTGTTCTCGGTGCCTTAGGTTTGGTACCTCCCAGTCTGTTGAATGACATTGGGAGAGTACCCGGGTTTGCTACCAGGAATACAGCCCTTCTGACAATCTGGGTTATGCAGAAGGCTGCAGTGCTGGAGAGTCTTCGCCTTCTCCGAAAAGTTCTGGGTGGGTTGGACTTAGCAGCGCTTCCTGGGAGAAGTCCATTTCGCTGTCTGGGCTGTGTGTCGAGGGGGCAAGGTCCCTGAGCTGACGTTGGGCCTAACTGTGCCAGGGTCCCATTCGCTGTCTGGGCTCCATGTAGAGGGGCAAAGACCTTAAGGTGATGATGAGACTGACTGCTTAACACACACACACACACACACACACACACACACACACACACACACACACACACACACACACACACACACACACACACACACACACACACACACACACACACACACACACACACACACACACACACACACACACACACACACACACACACATACACACACACACGTCGCTTTATGAGTGCAAAAATCTTGAACGCGACATTGAACCCTAGTTCACCACATCACCACCACAATCCAGCGATTGATATCATGAGCAATCTACGCAATTGGGATACGATGACATGCATCAAACAAATCAGCGAGCCTGATCATCCGATCTCGTTCGTCGCCTCTCATAACAAGCATGGGGTGCTGCGAGGCAATTCTAACTCGGATCTACATTGGTTAGTGATCTGTCCGTGATCTATGAATGTTCCCACAACCTACACACACAAACTGACATTACGTCTTGCCTTTCGCATCATCCCAGGAGGATGTGGAGCATGTTGATTTGTTCACATCATTAGTCATCGATAATATAGGATGTAACTTAGGCGGATACAGTGTGGGAGGGAGGAATGGGGGGTCAACAATAAGAGCCTCAGCATCCGGGTGCCATGACATCTACTTGTTATACTAATATTACATCCTTATGATTGAACCACCTCCGATCATCTGGTGTATTATAATCACATTGCTTTAATATTTTGATAAATACCCTGGATTCATTCGATGCCAGAGCGTCTTGTTGAACACTATTTGAATGGAACTACCGCTAAAAATGTCCGTCAAATTACTCTCACAAGCGAGAGATATCCTGTGCTGATTTCGCGATAGGTTGGATGGATGTCTTGGACGTCACTAATGAAACTCAGCTAGGGTGACGAATATGATCACAATAGGATGGAGACATAACACTGGGTAATAGAAGATGATTAAGCACAATCGATAACGGAAAGTTTATGTTGAATTCTGTTTTCCTCAGTATGTTATTCCATGTGTCAACTGAGTAATCATATACTCTTCCAAAAAGTATGGGATCATGGAATATAAATATTAATACCAAGTATTTGAACAATGATAAGTGTTGACGACAAACATCCTATGCAAGAACGTATATGTCGGTTAAACTTTACACTAAAACAAATCCAAAACCTTATATTGCCAACGTCGAAACTGAAGTAATCGTCGCTGGTCGCGACCCTTTAGATGAGTCCTGATGCACTTCCTTGATAGGCGTTGCCGTGTCTGGCGATGTCGAAATGAACGTCAAGCCAATGTTAACCTGCGACCTCATGGCAGTGGATCAGTTATGGTGTAGGGTGGCATCGCTATGAGTGAGCGAACCCCACTCCTATTGTGCAAGGAAAGGTCACTGGACAGTACTATTGGGACAACATGCTGGCACCCTGTGTTGTCCCTGTGTTGTTGGCGTGTGGGTCGACCATTTGTTCTTCAGGACGACAACGCCAGCGTTCATTGTGCACGAGTCGGTGTTTGGGGTGTGTCGTAGTAATCAGATATACTTACAATGTCAGCTTTCGTTTTCTGTACGAGAGAAACACTATGAGTCACACAGCAACATCAAATTCATTCATTTAACACTTTTTAAATCTCCACAAGATGCCTACAACCTCTTGATTTGTAGTCCTTCTCGCTACCACATGAGCCACAGAGACTATGTCACAGATGTCAACGTTTCGTAGTCACCATATTAACATAGCTACATGTAGGTTTATTCGTGCATTTGATTTGTACATTTATGATAATATTGTAACAGGTTTGTTGTAAGTCCAGTTGGTGCCTTTGTACATCTGTTTATATCCATATTTGACTTACTGCCTAATGATATGCATTTTTTTAAACATGTTTAAATTCTTAACATGATTAAACGTGTTTAAATTTCAAACATGTTTAAACTATAAAAATGATCAAATTCTAAACATGTTTAAACATGTTTAAATTCTGATATAAACATTTTTTGTTAATATTTTTAGTCAATTCAGTATATGATGTTATATATTTTCACATAAAGTAACATGACATGTAATGTACTTGTCAGGTGTAGTTTACAAACCTATACAACAGACAGCACATTTTAGTTGGCTAGTCATGATACAGGTGTACAACAATGTTAACACGTGGTGAAACTAGCAGGCTACATTTGCCATGCTTTTTTGGTCATCATTAACAAAGTGTGAAGCTAAATCTTTACAGCACATTAGTGGAAATTGTTCATGCTCAAAATGATTAAAGCATCAATTATTAAAGCTGTTGACATTCACACAACATATTTGTTTTGCCTCGAAACTAACGATACTTATCTTTGTTTTGAACAAGCACACTAATTGTACGTATCTTGTAAACTGACACCGTTCCGGAAGTCCACAACACAGTTCTAATGCTGTTTTGTGTAAAACCTGTTTCAATTTGATTATTTTATAGCAATATCTGTAACAAATGAACTCTTTTCCAAGTAAATGAAGTACAAATTGATATCTCTCGAATTACAAATATCGGAAAACAAGGACGCTGAGTAATGTCATTTAGTGTTCATGTAAGTGTAACAACTAGCATCAGTCTGTTGAATGTGGTTAGCCGATACACGGGTCCGGCCTTGTGAGGTTTGAATGTTCTGTTAAACTAAACTCGCATAATCTATGTGTATTATAGATATAGAAATATATGGGACTTCTACGTACCTATTTTTCGCCGGCCCCATGTTGCTTGGCTCGGAGTCAGGGTAGCTGTCAATAAAAAAAGAACTGAATCAGCCATACATAACTCACTTTTCTTTATAGTATCCTGGATGCCTAAACATGTTTAGAATTGCTTTGTTTAATACTTTGTTTGAAGTCAATCATTCTTGAAATCTAAACACTTTTAACATGGAAACGTGAATGCGCAAACGTGACTGAAACCAAAACAGGTCCGAATATTATTCTTAATGTATTTTGTGTTTGTCAGACATTTATCGTGTATATGGCTGCTCTGCGATGGCGTAGAAGGCAAAAAGTGTTCATGCAAGTATTAAAACAGGATAGCTTTAACACTGATGGTTTCCAAGGTTTGTTTGTCCACACTCGGCAACACTGCAGCTGACGTCAGTCTGTAAATGATCGAGTCTGGACCAGACTCTGTAGTGATTGACATACGAGCATCGATCTACGCAATTGGGATGATAACCAGGAT